TATACTCTCTTGTTCTCATCTCGTCGTCTCTTTCCTGCTGTCTCTTTTGTTCAAATCAGAAGCTATATTTTGGTAATCACTATAGCTATTCAAAACAAATCCATTTTCATTATGCAATGCTTTGAAAAGAATTGTAATCATACGTAATATAAAATATTCGAAAAAAATCTTTCTTTATATTTGTTTTACGAAATAAACACTAGTTCCTCACCTGTTTGTTTACATCTGTAAGCCATGCCCCCCCCCCCCACCCCGACACATGAGTCGAATATATATTCTTGTTCTTCTCTTTAACCAGGAGAGTCTCCACGTACGTTTTATTTTCGCCCGTTTCACTTGATTTTGCCCTCTTATAGCCAGACTTTGTGCTGTGATAGGGATCAATTTCGTTGTAGTTCGGAGCTTCTTATCACTGGTGTGACTGCGCGTATGAAAAGAATAGATGAAAAGCTACACTGACTTCTATTTCGCAATTATGTCAAGAAACGAAAAAAAAAAAAAAACAGATATGGGTGCGCTCCTGCTTCGCAAGAACTGAAAGTGTTTATAAGGTTTTCAGACTCAGCCTCAATAATGTTTAAAATCGGACTGCAGACACATACTCCTTACTTATTTTTATTCCCACCTTTGTAGGCCAGCCACAAACTGAGAGGAACTAACACCAGAAGGGAAACAAGTAGCAACCCATTCTTCAGCCTGTCGTCTCCCGCTCCTTCCCCCTCCCTTCTTTTCTCTCTCCCGTTTCCTCTCTCGCCCTCGACCTCCAGCCACACAACAGACTCCCCGGTGATGTCGTAGTCTCTCAGCATCTTCTCGTCCTTCAAGTTTTCGCTGCCGGCCCTCAGCTGCAGCTTCCTCGCCTCCACACCCGCTTTCCGGGCCACCTCGTGCTTGATCTGTATGACGGGGAACGCTTCGGCCGCCACTACCCTGATAACGTTCCCTTCCGGCTGGACAACGTTAACGAAAAATCCACAGCTGCTTTCGGCCACAATGCGGACTTCTTTGATATCTACACAGTCTTCGTCGCAGATGCCGTAGCTGGAAACCGTTGCTTTAGTGTCCCTTAAATGCTCGCCGTTAAACTCGATTTCCCGATAGTCACTTAGGGGAACACCTTCTAACATTATCTTCACCCTGAGCGTGTGGATTGTGTCCGTCGGTTGTGCTTCAACAGAATACATTTTCCCGTCTGTGTCTCGCACATGGATGATCATGGCCAGGATCTGTAAGAGAAAGTCAAGGGAGAAAAGAGTGTTATATTGTCTCTTCCTTAAATCTGAACCACTCAATCGTTGTTTAATCATGATCTGTCATTCCTTTGTTTTTCCTCTTGCTTGTAAATTCTGCTGTGCTGACTAAAATTCTTAAATATTTGTGCGATCTAATATATTAATCATTTATAACCACATATAACACACATAAAGCCAATTCCAGGAGAGTTTTCAACATAGCAACATAACCTACAAGGATGATACGCTCGATGCAGCTCAAGAATCGATTGGTGAACTCCCAAAAGATACTGAAAGCCACATAAGCTTGTCTGACAGGGGCTTGTGATTTGCATTGTTTCCTGGTGCGCAAGAAACAGTTTATCAAGAGTCTTACAGAGGAGGTCGAAGGCCATTTCCTAGGAAATTACTTACATCGTGCCCTGAGAAGGCTCAACTCTAAACCTCCTCACAGGTGACTGCAGTTTGTTCAGTAACACCAGATTATCCTGTTGGGGTTCGGGAGTGTTGGGTTGAGTATCTTGAGCAGTTGTACGAGGTTCATCCACCAACAGTTAACTTGGATGCAGGGAGTGTCGGGATCCCTTTGCCGAATCCTCACACCCTAAAGGATCCATCCGCCCTAACTGAAGTTTTTTTTTTTTTTTTTTTTTTTTTTTTTTGAGGGGGGCAATCTCCAAGCTGAAGAGTGGTAAAGCAGCAGGTATCTGCAGCATCCCAGCTGAACTGTTAAAGGTTAGTGGTGAACCTGTGGCACAAGATTTGCATGCTGTTCTAGCTGCCATCTGGCAAACGGATACTATTCCCCCTGACCTGTTGAGGGGTGTAGTCATCCCTCTCTGGAAGGGGAAAGGGGATCGACTGGACAGCAGCAGTCACTGACGCAATAAACTCACATCCTTCTGGAAGTATCAGAGACCACCTGCTGAGGCAACAGATGCTGGAGCAATTTGGATTCACTCCTAGTACATCCACAATATACCGTATTTTCGCACTTTGGAAACCCTAGTGGTGGTTTACATGCATTTAGCAATAAAGTGAATCCCCTGGGTCTAGAGGTCTCGTGGACCAAGACCAAGACCTAGACAATCGGGAACCTTGGCCTTTTGCACTCTCGCACGACCGGATGCAGCTGGAAGTCTTGCCCAGGACAATGTGAATGTTTGTATATATAAATTTATATATATATATATAATATATATATTATATATATTTATATATATATAATGTATGTATGTATATATATATATATTTTATTTATTATTTTA